CCCCACTGCTCCCAGCAAAGCCCCTGCCAGCCCCACAGCAGCCCCTGTGGCTGTGCAATCCCTGTGCCCCACAGCTCAGATCCTCTCCAGCTGAAGCTGCTCCCTCAGCCCTGCACTGCTCTGTCAGCCCCAGCCCACCCTGGCTGCAGCTGCTCCTTCTTGCTCCATCAGGAGCTCAGCCAAAGGTATCCATGGTACCCCTCCTTAGAATCATGGAATCCCAGCCTGGTTTGGGTTGGAAGGGACCTTAAAGCCCATCCAGTGCCACCTCTGCCATGGCAGGGACACCTCCCACTGTCCCAGGTTGCTCCAAGCCCTGTCCAGCTGAGAAAAGACCACCTGAAAGCAGGTCTGGAGTCCTGCAGGTAACCAGGACAGTGAGGTCCCCTTGCATTTGGGATGTTTCCTCCCCCTGGGGTCTCACCCCAAGCACACCAGGGCAAGGCCAGGCACCCCTGCAGCCACTCCCTGGCAGTGGAGAGGTAAGTGGCTCAGGAATGTCCCATCATGGCCCCTGTGCAGCTTCAGTCCCACCTCACCCATCTCTGAGCAGGGGCCATCAGCCACAAGGACAGAGGGACAAGGATTCTGTTACACCCTGAACTTTGGGGAAACCTTCATTGATCACAGAATCCCAAACTAGTTTGGTTGGAAGGGACCTTCAAATCCAGCTCACCCCATCCCCTGCCACTGTCCCAGGGGGCTGCAAGGCCTGTCCAGCCTGGGATCAGCACAGGAACAAGGCTCCTGGATAACACAGGAGCAGCTGCCCCTCCCAGGCCAGCCCCACCTCCAGGGAGGGACAGGGACAAGAGATGACAGGAGGAGCTGCTCCAGCCCAGCAGGGACCCTGTGGGGGGCACAGCACCAAGGGCAGGGGGATCAGGCAGACCCAGGTGTTCAGGGCTCGTTGCTCAGCTCCTGGTGCAGAGCTCTGCTCCCTGCACTGCCCTGCAGCTCCTGTGCTCACACCTGGGCTGCCCTGCAGGAACTCTGGGTGGTGCCTCCAACAGCACAGAGGGACACAGAGGAGCTGAGTGAGTCCAGGCAGCACAACCCAAACCTGGCACCTGGAGGATCCAGGACAGGCACTGCTGCCTGGAGCCAGCACTTCCCACTGCTCTGTCACTGCCCTGGCTGTTTGTCACTGATTGTGACCTGACCTGGCTCATGGCACACAGAAGAAAAGAACTGATGCAAATCATCACAAAACAAAATTTAAAGCCAAGCTGCTGAAGCTAAACCTGCCATACCTCAATGTGTGACTGCTGATGATGCCAAAACCAAAACACAACACAATGCAAGAGGACATGCAATGCACAGCAGGCAGGTGGTTTTGGGATAGCCAACAACTGGATTGCAAGATCCTTCCCCACCCAGCACACCTGGAACTGCCCATCCCTATCAGGGCTCCTCTGGGTCTCTGCTGAGAATGCCTGGGGGTGTTTGGGAGCAGCACTGATGTCCCACACTGCCAGGACACANCTGTCCCTGGCCCAGAGCAGAGGTGGGAGCTCTGCCCTCACACATGGAACACCACCCTTGGCAATCCATGTCTGCAGCAGCCCCTGCTTTCCCAGCTCAGGCCAATCTGCAGCACAGGCTGAGCTCAGATCAGCTCCTTGTGCCCACCCTGAGGGGACCTGACCTGCACAAAGCCCTGGTTCAGGCCATGAGGGGCAGGAATGGGCAGGAGTTGCTGCACTCAGTCGTGTTTGAAGGGGAATTTGGGGAGCCAAGCAGAGCCCTTTGGGTGCTCAGCTGGAACAAGAAGCCCTGCCTGGAAGGTACTCAAGAGTTTTCTGTTCCTGACCAGCAGTCTGGGGCTGGGACAGCAGCTCCTGCTGGGAACAGCTGAGGTGTTGGCACCACAGGGACCTGGGCAGCTCCATCCCCTCCCCAGGCAGGAATGAGGGAGCTCAGAGCACCATGGGCAGCACTGGATCTGTGTGGGGTGCTCCCAGCCTCAGCCCAGGGGCTCCTTGCTCCCCCCAGAGCAAAGCAGAGCCACAGTGGCAGCAGGAACAGCAGCAGCACCTGGAGCTTCAGGGACAGGGGCTTCTGGTTCAGCAGGCGCTGGTACTGGATCAGCCAATAGTTCTCCTGCTTGGTTTCACTCTTTGCCTCCATTTCCAGCTGAAAAACAAACTCAATTCATTCAGCACCCAAGGGAACACGGCCAGGGGGAGTGCAGGGATGGGTGTGAGGAGGGAAGCCCAGCCTGGGCACTGCAGGGCCCAGCCAGAGCCCTGTGATGGGGTCAGACAGGATTTCTGCCTCCTGCAGGCTGGCCCCACTTGGACCCCACACGGGGCTGTGCATCTCCCTGCCCCCAGCCCTGTGGCCTGAGCTCCTGAGGCTCAGACCACAACTCCCATCCCTTGTGCTCATCCTGCTGCCTCCTCCCTTCCCAGCAGGGTCACTGGGGGTGATGATGGTGCCCACGCTGTCCCAGGCAGTGCTGCTGTGCCCCCCAGGTTCATGTTACAACTCCCTGGGTTAAACTGGCTTCTGGACCTGGACACAGCCCTGCTCTGCTCCCCTTCACTCCCACACTGAGCCATGGGCTCTCCCTGCAGCCAACCCAAATCCTTCCTCACCCACAGCTCTGCATGAGGGCCTTCATTACCAGGATTTGCTGCAGTTCCTCCTCCCTTTGCTTCTTCTCCTTGAGCAGCTGCTGCAGGAGGGAGCCGAGTGCCCGGCGCTGCTCCGTGACC